AGACAAGAGCGCACATCTTTTAGTTGTCAGATTTCTGTGTATCAGTATGGATTAATTATTTTTTTTCCTGATACTGGTTTTTATGTGTAGGAAGTTTCCAGTAAACACACTGCATAGTGTGAAATTCCCTCCCTCCCGCCCCTCTTGGTTTTTTTATGGTTTTTGGTTTCTTTTTGTGGCTTCCCCTCCCCAAACCAAATGCACTAATCTCAAATGGTTTTCCACAGAACATCAGGTGTTTACAACTTTATACATTGCATAGCATGCTAGATACATGAATAACTATATGTTAAGCAGGGTTAACTATGACATCATTTGTCAGTCCAAGTAAATGACTCAGACCTTACATAGCTTCTTTACAAGTCACTTTCCCTGCCACTTTTTGGTAGCTGTTACATTCTTGTCATCATTGTTGCCACTTCAGTTCAAGCATGTAGATTTTTGTGAGGTTGGAAGAGGATTTGGTACAAACACAGGGAAGCCTAAATAATCTTGTCCCTGTAGATGCGCGATGTATTGGTAATATTAAAGACTAAGACAAACTAAAAGCTGCCGTGGCTGAGTTAATTTTTTTTTCCCTTTTCATTTAAGCTAATAAAACTGTGTTGAATGTGCTTAAACTATTTTCCCTTGAAATATCATTTAGTAGATAAATTTTAATCTGAAATTGTTTTATGTGCATCAGTGGGAGGTTACACTGCAAACCATAAACAGTAACGAGAGGTTTGTGTGGGTTTTTTTTCTGATTTGCATTGAAGATCTAGGTCTGTGAGGTGTGTGTACAATGAAGGTAACCTCCTGTAACAGTGACGGAGTTTCTTCTTGGTTCTTTGTCAAGTAATTATTGATTTTGATTCCTTTTTACTGTAATAAGGGCCTCTTGCAGTGGCCCTGCTTCTGTGGCCAAAAAATTAAAACTAAAAATCCCTATTAGTACCAGGATCCATCTTATGTAAGTCCAAGGTTTTGTTTTTTCTCGCTATACACTGGAGCAGTTAATGTGCATGTATTGGAGGAGATAGTCTGAATATACCCATTGATATACCCCATGTCTCAGGAAAGCATGAAACCAGTCATAATACCGTGGCTGACTAACCAAGTTGCTCAGAATTGAACTAATTTTGGCATCTGGGTTAAAATAAAAAAAGTTTTTTCATATTCCTTGCCATTCGATAAAAGAAACAATGAAAAAGCTGCTCTAGCAAATTGAAAAATGAAACACTGCATGCAGGTACAGATATTTTTTTTTTTTTTTGATGTATATTGAGTGTTATATTGGATGAAAAATAAAGGTTCAATGTCTTGGAATGTATTTTGTTTTTATAATCAAATTATCTGGAAACAAAACAATTCATTTTAATAAAAATAAAAAATTTGCATTTTAATAATGTTAAAATATTTAATTTTTAAGCAGTTTTTCAAGTTTTAATTAATATTTTGGTTTAATTTGAAATGAATTTTTTAGGTTGACTTAACGCATGAAAAAAAAAAAATCTGACTTTCAAAAGAATACTTAAAAATATTACCCACCCTGCTGATTGCAGAGTTCACAGTAAGCCTCATAGTAGAGGAGCATCATTAAGTAGTTTTTAAATGGGGATATTGTCAACTTTCTGTCAGAAAGTAGCTATGAAGTACAAGTATGAAAGTATCATAGTTGCAAATGTCAATATGTTCTTTTGCATGTGCAGGTCCAGATTTATTCCACTTAATTTTAGGCACTGGCCTTAGATGCCTTGTCACCTTAGATCCTTCTCCAGTTACATCCCAAAGTGCCTGCAGCAAAAAGCCCCGTGTACCACTGACCTGCCTGTAGCCCGGGGCTGCTGTGCCCCAGCTTGGCACTTGGACATCTTCCCCAGCTTTAAGTTCTGCCGTTGCGGGCACGTTGGACGCCTGATGCACTTTCTGGTTGTCTCTCACTTCTCCTGTCCACGAGCACAAACTTCCAAGGCAAACCTGGGCGGCTTTAGTGTAGCAGCGGGACAGGAACCTCGTCTTCAGGGGCCCCGGAGCAGCTGAGGAGCACGGCTGGGCAAGTGAGATCCTTGTGCCCGGAGGAAATACTGATCCGTGCTTGCAGCTCAGCGTGTGGGTCACCCAGGGCACACAGCCTGAGGCTGAGAGTGAAACCTGGCTCCTCATCCGCTTCATAAAACTGAGTGAAAATTGAGTTAGTGGGTGGTTTCTCTGCCAGTTTTATGGAATTCCTCTTTGAGCTGTGTTCATTCACTTGTCTCCTGTGCTCATGTTTATGCTTGCATGTGCTCTTTGCTCTTTCTGTCTTCAGCGAGAGTCAAATTTACTGCCATTTGGTGGCATTACTGGAAATGTAAAAAGCCACTCTTTGAAATCCCGTTTTAGATGAATTGGTTTAGGATTGTAATTAAAGACATACCTGGAAAGACAGGTATGGTTTGGCCAGTAAATTATGGTTAATGTGAATAGAGATATGTTAATACTGAATATTTACACAGTCTCATTTGGGGTTGCAAGAAGCTGGAGATCCAAATTGTTTATGAGAAGCCTTCTAGCTCTGGTTATTTAGTGCTGATAACACCTTAAAGAATAGATCATTAAGGATCTATTCAAGTACTCATAAGTGTATTTTGTAATTTCTGTGTAATCTATGCCTGCAAAATAGGATATTTAGAGTATATTCAGATGCTGTGCGTAGTAAAAAAAGGGATCTACAGTTTTTGAGCAGCAGTGATTGAGACTACTGAACGGCTGTTTTATCAGCAAATGCAATGTCACCCCAGTGCAGTTGGCTAAAACATCACTGGCGTGCATGGTAGCATAGTCTGAAACAGATGTTTTTCCTCTTCTGGCTCACGAGGGTCATGCAGATGCTGCTGGTGGTCTAAAAAGACTGAAAAAGAATTGTCTTTCCTGTGGAACCTTCAGTTTTTGTTTGTCATGCCTAGTAAAGTGCAATGGTACAAACTCATCCAGGGCTGGTGTCCCTTCTGCATCCTTGGCCTGACTGGCAGGTTGGCTGGTCTGGTGCTGTGGCCAGACACCACGGAGGAGGACAGCCTGAAGAATGGTGTAGTCTGAGAGGACAAGGGTGACATTACATGTGTATTTTCTAAGGTGTGTAGACCCTCTCCTTCAAGACTTGTACTTCCAAACTTTTCCTCATGAGAAATTACAGTGATTTTTATTTATTTCCCTTGTAGTCTGGGAATTTTGGACAGTCATTGGTATCACACATGCAAAAGGTAATGCTCTTCTTATTTATACAGCAGCAGTCATTTGGGATGGCCAGGGAATCCCTACAGGGGGCTGCTGTGCAGGAGAGATCCTAATGGGCTTGGGGATGGCGTGTTTGCCACCCATGCTTACAGATGCACCATGGAAGTGGGACTTTTATAATGCTTGGTAAAATCATCTAAGTTTGGATGGCATAGATCACTCTATCCCATCTTCTAAGCCCGATCGTCATGAGAAAAGTGCAGTGTATCAGAGTTTTCTTTTTAAGGTTGTCTGTTCACCTTAGTAAAGTTAAGTGAATGGTGATAGGAAATGTAGCAATATTAAATCACAGTAACAGTGTGGGGCGTCTGTGACCTTTCAGGAGTTGGCCCGATACCTTGGTTTTGGTGCACTGAAGAACTGAAAAAAAGCTAGTTTGTAATTTTTTTTTTATTCTTTGTGCAGTGGAAGCAAAATATTTTATATACTTGCTTGTTTTATGGGTGAGAAAGGAAGGTTCCTTTGAATTAGTGCAGAAGACTTGTGAAATTGAACCTCTGTCATTTCAGATTTTTTTTCTGTCAAAACCAGTTGAGTATACAATTCCCATAAGCAGCTTTGGTGTGGGAGACAATCAGCCAATGTGTATCCAGTTTATTACCTGCTTTTGCAAACCTGGTAGTTTTGAAATCTAGATTTAAATGTATTGTCTCGATCAAAACAATTGTGAAGAGATTGTCTCATCAGTTTTGGCCTCTTTCCATTTTAAGTATGAAGCTGTGTTTTATTAGCTGGTAGTACTACATATTTTAATATGAATTTCAGGTGTGTAAAGTATTGCAGTTTGTTCGACTGTAGAACAGGAGTTTGGATGTGGATGTTGCGTGAGTTGATAATTCATGATGCTGAAAGGTCCTTCTGTTTTAAAAGGAAGCTGTGAAGCAAGTACAAGAGTAATTCATCTGATAACATACGAGTGATTAACTTTTCCTACCCAAAAAAAGCCTGACTTTTCTGATTAGAAATGCTCTTAGAATGGAAATCCTATGTTTAAAGTATTTATCACCAGTAGATGTAATGGTAGTTGAAGAAATTTAGCATAAATAAAGGCATAATTGAATACAGTGTATACTTTTATGATTTTCTCAAAAGTTTTCATAATAGCATTTGAAATTCATATGCTCTGTGATGTTCACAGTCTGATTCATTGACTGGTCACTAAGTTCAGCAAGCTGCAGATTACTGGACTGATTGCCTGTGGAGCTGTTTGGAAGAGATGGTTATACCTACTTTTGTTTAAGAAATTAGGAAATTACCATTTGGATTCTGACCCACAGTTTTTGTTTGTTTGTTTGTTTGAGCCTTGTGACTTCCCCATTTCAAGACCACCTTTTTCCAGTTCAGATTATAGTGCTGTTTCCAGTTTACTATAGACATAGCAAGGGAGGTTAAGCACTGTGGAAATCCTTTTTGTCTCTCTCCATGACATTGGGAATGTTGGGTGGAGTGGAAGTACTGGTGTAGTCTGTCAGGGAAGTGCTGCTAGCACAGATGGAACTCTATGGGCAAAGCTGTGTTTAGTCCCCTGTAGTTGACCCTAGTAGGGTCAAAATGCTACCCAAGGGAAAAGTGCAGCCTTGCTGGTGTAAGCACAGCCACACCAGGAGCTTCCTAAAGCCACATTAGGTCCAGCAGGGATTGCACCTATTTGTACCCCTGGCTTCCAACAAGAATCTGATATAGATTCCGTCTCACTAAAACCTCCTAACGTAAATCTAAATTCCTTACCACTTCTTTCCTAGGGCTCCTCGATTTAAGGGGTTCCAGCAGCAGGACAGCCAGGAGCTTCTGCACTATCTGTTAGATGCAATGAGGATTGAAGAAACAAAGGTAACATCTTTGTGTACATTTTTAAGAATTTACTTGGCTGTATGGTAAGCTACTAGTCGTTGCTTCAGTGTTCATCATGTTCCCAGCATTTATAGAGATGTACTTAATGGAGTAGGAGTGCCTATTTGTGTTACCTTGAGAGAATCTTGAAAGAGGATTTAATTATGTTCATGCTGGTATGTTGAAATTGCTGTTTGGAACAAAAGTTTCAGTGTAGGCAGTAGAAAGAGTATGGTAAGTAGACCATGATTAACTTTAGGAATCTGATTTGTTTACATTTATTAAAAAGAAAAAATAAAAGGACAAAAAAAAAAAGATTTCCGAGTAGTCAACAAAGTAGAAGAGGAACCTCGGAAAAAAAAATAAAAGGGACAAAAATAAAATCTTGCGGAATTTCTTCTATCTTTTGGAAGTGTGAAGAACTGCTTGTTTTCTAAATACTTTTATGAAGAACTGCTTTTCATAATTTAAAATCCGCATCTAAGTATAATCAGTTATATTACTTTAGAAATGTCCCTGTGTGGTTTTTATCACGTTTCTTTTCCTGTGTTATTTCTGCCTCTTACATTGTTGAGTACAAGCAAGTGTGTGTTTGCTCGCTCAGACTGTTTTGGCCATATCTGATTTCATCTGCCTGACGTAGTCTTGGAACCTTCTTTTTTAGATAATATTTTGGTAAACAGCCTTTTCTGAGTCTTGTCAAAAGGAGGTCCTAAAATCTCATACTGACCAGGGTGCTTCCTCTTGCCTCTCATTTAGTAACGTGGTGGATGTCGTGATCCTGAGCTGAATTAGCTTGGAGATGAGATACAAAGCTGTGTCTGAGCCCTGTTCCTGGCACCAGAGTAGTGCTGAATTAATAAATGAATTAATAAATACTCATATTCTGGTAGTAGTGCTACCAGAATATAAATATTTATTGGTCTCATCAGCGGTATACTTGATCATAAGCAGAACTTAACTACAAGGAGAAACAGCTAAACCTTGACTTTATCACACTTACAAAATGAGATGTTGAACAAGGCACACAACAGAAGCAGCTGACCTTAGCTAAAAAAACAATTGTCATGTTTTTGCAGTAGAGGGAGACTTTTATTTTGTTGTTTGTTGATTTTCATTTAATAAAACATGGAAACTGTATTTGCCTCAAAAATGAAGATTTATCAAAAACAGGATTATGGCAACAACTAAGTAGCTTCTCCAGTGGCTGGTTGCACTCCCCCCTCAAGTCAGTCTCCTGTTTCGCCAGTGACTGTGCCATCGTTATGATAACCTGCATTTGTGTTTGCCTTTTGAATTGTTTATTGCTAGGGAACGGTGGCAGCTACAGTAGCTACAAAAAAAAAGTAATGGAAGATGGTGAGAATATTAAGTGACCTCTGGGACAGTAGAGTGTTTCTGCAGGCCCATCACCAGGCAGGGAGAGGCTGGTCCCACCCTGCCCTGTAATTACACCCTCAGCTGCCCTAATGGTGCATTACTGCACGCCAGTCTTTATCACCTCAGGCTGCGCTTACACAGAACTAGTAAAAGTGCTCATGCTCTCTCTCTCTCTCTGTTGTGTTTTTGTTTTTTGTCTTTTTTTTTTTTTTTAAATTATCCCATGTTTTGGGTCTGTAGCTGCCATGACAAACAGCAAACATCAGGCCCGTGGTGAGCACGAGGCTTCCCTATCCCTACCGAGATTAATTGTTTTTAAACTCTTAAGGGTTTTGATGAGAAATGCGTGTGATCCGTAACATGGCTAGAGGAACTAACATAGTTAGAGGAACTAACAGAAAGTCACATTATGCTTTTGCCTCTTCTCAGTGGCTTTGTACCTTGTATCTGACACCAGCACTGAGGTTTGTCCTGTGCTCACTAAAAAAAGTTAGAAAGTGCATATGTACACAAGTGGATTTTTAAGATAAAAGCTTGTCGATACTACAATAAAGATGACATAGTGTCTGCCATTTCCAGCAATGTGGGCCAGAGATGGTTTCACACCGGGGCCTGAAGTGGCTGAACCCTGCTGCTAATTGATTAATGTCTGCTGCCATTGTGGGCAGCACCCTGCCCATTCAAAGACTGTGTCTTTCTTTGACCTAAATAAATGGTTCAACGGGCTAATCCCAACAAAAGGGTCGCTTATGGCCCTAAACCCATTTATGGTGCTCAACTTCATGAATTACCTATTGATTAGTCCTTTTAGTATATTGTTGGCTTTAAGATGAACAAAGCTGAGCTTGGGGCAGCGGGAGTTAATTCACAAGCCAGGTCACATACTCATAAGGTAGGACTATGACTTGGTCTGATGGGTGCCTGAACTGGAAACCAAACCTCCCAACGCTGTCTGTCGTCCTAAACACTTTTGTGATACATGGCTTGAAAGTGGCAGTTCTTTGCTGCCTGCAAACAAGAGCTATTTATTATTTTCCCATTAGGACATAAGTTTTGAGTTACTTGCAGAAGGTTTGGTGTCACCATTTGTCTCTGGAATGGTACTTTGCTCTAAGTATGACTTCAGTGACACATTTAGCTATAAATGCCATTTGCACACTGACACGGGAGACTCAGACTTGTCACTGGAGTTTGTGGCTTAGAGAGGAAAGGACGTTTGCCAGGGAAAAGGGAAGCAGGGGTCATGCAAGCTGCAGGGTTCCCTGTCAGGGGGCCCGATTCATCCGGCTGCGTCCCCCGCTGCAGCATCTCGGAGGCTGGGCTTAGACACTGTTGGTAGCAGCCTGTGCAGTGCTGCTGCCAGGGCACGTGTCTCAGCGGGGTACAGCCTCTCCTTGTCCCAGGGCAACTGAGAAACAGCTGGGGAGCACCCCCTGCCTCAAGGTGCAGTTACAGCTCACCTGTGTGAATCCCCTTCTTTCTGATTCTTCTTGCAAAAACGTGTTAGGATTTTTTTTTTTAGCAAATGTTACTGGCGTTTATATGTATTCATGAAAAGTTTTTTTATCTCTCCTTAGATTTTCTAACATAACGCTGAAATGTGCAGTGTTAGAAAATATACAGAATTAACAAAAATACTGCCAAACAGAGTCATTGAAGTCTAGCTGTTTAAAGATACTTCAAGTATTTTATATCCTAGTTAGTCAGTTATAGTTCATTCTTCAGTATATTCCCCCCCAACAGTGGAAGAAATGGATAGTATTTGTTCATTGAAAATCTCAGTAGTCTGTTGATAACCTATTGAGTGCTCTACGACAGCACCCTTTCTAATGGGAGGAAACTTTTGTATGGTTACTTATTAAGAATTAAGCTCATGTAGTTTTGACACTGTCAATGAATAACAACAGTAGCTTTTAAATATTAAATTATGCTTATTTTCTGGAAATAAGAGTAGATGAAGTCTAGTAGTATATTGATAGTTTTAAAAATATTTACACTTAAAATACTTTTTTTTTAATTATAGCGTATACAAACTGGTATCTTAAAAGCATTTAATAATCCAACTACAAAGACAGCAGATGAAGAAACTAGAAGAAAAGTCAAAGGTATGCAACTCTTTATTGAAAACTTGTAAAAATGCACAAGCTTTTATACAATTTTTTTAAGTACCTTTTTCTTCTAGAGTGGCTATTGCCAGCAGCAGTCCCGCAGAGCTGTAGTTGCAGGACTTCTATGATGTGTTATTCTAGTGCCACCTAGTGTGTGTGCAAAGCGTGGGGAGCTTACCGTGTGCTGGCTTGCACCTTTGTGTCCAGGAGAAAGGCTTCTGCTCTATCGATAATGCCTCTTTTAAGGATAGATAGAATTTAATTTTGTTTTCTAAAACAGCCTGCTGCATCTTCAGGTTTGTTATATACCCACAATTATTGTATCGCTCAGGCCACTTTCCAGAAATAAAACTGATTTCTGTTGGTTGACTTCTATTGTGAGCCCTTTAAATATGCTTGCAAAGCCAAGATAGGAAGCTGTTTCAAAAGAAGGCTTGGTTTTTCAAAAGACAAGTTTTTTAGTTAATTTTTGTGTGTGTATGTTTATGCAAACGTTTGGATTTTGGGGATTTTGTTTTAATTAAAGTTGTAATAATGATTAAGCTGTTTTAAAAGTTACCCTTCCCAAATCTGCAACAATTAAGGCATAGAGACATATTAGAACAGGTTTTTGTCTTATTTGTCTATATTGTACAGTTTGAAAAAAATTTAGAAAGGGTAACAAGCTGTCTGTAACCCTAGTCTATATCAAGGCAATCCAATATTATGTATTCAAGGAAAATTGAGATTTTATTTAAAAAGCTGCTTCTTGAGAGATACAGCATTATTATTCTGTTGCAGTACGTGGGGAAGGGAAGGATAAAAGGGAATCATCTTACTAAAAAGTTTTTAAATGTTGAGATAATACAGTATATGATGTATTAGTTATTGTATTGTGTTCAAAATGTTTTGAATATGTTTTAAAATTGTGCTTTCATAATATATCTTAGAAAGAACTTTGTTGTACTTATAGTGTGGCATTGGATGTGTTATCTTTCACTTTTAAAAAAGGCAATGTTTTTTCAGCATATGGAAGAGAGGGTGTGAAGATGAACTTCATAGATAGGATCTTTGTTGGTGAATTGACTAGCACTGTCATGTGTGAGGAATGTGAAAATGTAGGTATTCTGGAATTTGGTTTGATGTGGAATAGATCACATACTGGTTTGATTACATTGTCTTGAAAGTATAAAATTGTATTGCCAATTTTATACTTGTTTGTTTGTAAAAACAAGACTTTGATGAAAGTTTCTCATTTAAAATTATTTATTCCTTCTTTAAAGCATTATCCTCCCAAACCTAAGAAGAGGGGTCCTTTGAATTCAAAAAGTATTCAAGCACTGGGCTTGATTTTACATCTAGCTTAAGGCTGGAGGCTCCAAATTCTGTGATCATCTGTGTTACACTCCAGTTTTATTGGCTATTTTAAAAACACCTACCTATCTTAAAAAATAAATCCTCCTGCCTGCTCTTCTGGGATACAGCTGAAAATTGGGAATTACTTACTTTGGACTAGTATGAGTGGGGAAATGCTATTTTTTTTTTTTCCTTGAAGTATTTTTGATAATTAACATAATAACCCTAATGAACAGCATATTCCTTTCATAATTAATATTACTGACATTTCATCACAAATGCTTTCCATGATCCTTATAATTTTCTTTAACTTTAGAAGAGAAAATACTTATTTGCATGACTGTTCTAATTGAATGTTACATTTGTGTTTGGTTTACAACATTATATTTCACATTATAGAGATTAAGTAAATCAATCAGTCTGAATAATTAAGCACAGTCCTGCAGTGCCAGGTAAACTTCCCTGTGTGTGATGTGCAGAAGACACTTGAATGTGCTGCTAGTGTCAGTGAAGAGCTTTGGCTACATGCAAAATAGAGGTTGTATGTATTTCGTGTGTCTCATTTATTTTTGCTGGATTTTTATATTCTGCCTGCGCAGGACCCAGGGAGTTTTGTAGCTGTAGCCCTTTGAGGAGGAGTTTAGCACTAGCCTTGCGTTGCCTTCATCGGCCAAGATCCCCTTGGCCCATGTTTGTCCGTGCAGACTCACCCTTTAGAGGAGCCCCTGTCTGAACATCGCCCAGCCATCAGCCAGCATAGGCACAGAGGGTTTGGTCTCATTTATTGCTTTCCTGGAACCCAAACCATGCTGAGTCCCTTGCACGACAGGTAAAAAGAAGCCTATGGTCCCTGTCAGATGTGGCAGGTGGAAGAGAGGGTCACAAATACAGGAGAAGGGCAATGATGACAGCCATTGAGGGCATGACTCTGTCCGGTAACTTAGATGTACAAAATGAATTTTTTTGTTGTTTCGTTTTTAATAAGGCTTTGTTTTTCACAGTCTTTCCAGAGGTAATATAAGTCAGTTTTGGAAGGAATTTGAGAATGGCAAGGGAGAGAGCTTAAGGAACAGGCTTGGATGGGACGTTCTACCCATAAAGGCAGATGGAAAGTGCTGAGAGACGACGTCTTTAGCTATGATTTGCCAGAAGCTTCCAGTTTCAGCGTAGATTTTACATGGCTTATAGATGGCAAAACAGAACTTCAGTACAGAAAAGAAGGTTCGATTTTTTTCAATCCCCTTTTCCTTAGTAATTGGACTTATTTTAACAATTACTAGTGTATGCCATCGTGTGAAAATTTCTCATAAAGCTTTTGGCTGTAACCAGTAAGTCTGACAAGCTTTTCTGAGAGCGTCAGGTTAGAACTTGTCATCGAACTGTCAATAACCAGTCCTTGCTGCTTAGCAGTAAATGAGGTTAAACACCTGCACAGAAGTGTCCAGGGTCAGGAAACCCTAAAAGTTCGCTTTCTGCAGAATTGTACCATCTAGAAGGCCCACGTGACTTCAAAATCTATCTGGAGCTCAGAGAAACTGAGCACCACACTGTTTCTATGCCCAGTTCATGCCCAGATGAATGGCCTTGCCCTTTGTGTCTATGCTGAAATTTCATGAAGGGCTAGAATGAAAATCAGAGCTAAGTTAAAGTTAATTTTAAAAAAAAGTTTGTAGGAAGTTCTTCATTGTAGTTTGATACATCTTGCTTGTAACTAGCTTTTTGTATAGTTTCTGATAATTTGATTTAAAAAAGGGAGCTATGTGCTAAACCTATATAACATTCTTTGCCTTTCATATGAATTTTCTCTTTTTCTTCAAGATTTCAACAGTAAAAGAACCTTTCATTGATCTTTCACTTCCTATAATAGAGGAGAGGGTAAGAAACAGAATATGTGATAAGTGACTACTACTTCCAGTTTTACATACCATTATGAAGATGTTTATGTGTATATACAGTTTCAATTTCAAGCCTAAAACCATATGCTTGTCCATAAATACACATATTGTTATATGTCTGTTCATTATATGATTTTATTTATTTATATATAAATAGACATACTGTGTTGTAAGTGTATATATCTTTAAATTAGTCCAAACTTGGAACAAACTACCATAGTAATTTACAGTATATGTAGGTCTAAGATTAGGTTAATTTAGTAGTATTTTCAGTATATGTTAATATCAATAGTATGATTATAAAATTTTTTTTTTTTTTTTGAGGCCCAGAAAGTTAAGATTCTAGGCTGTTGGTTTGCATCTAGAGAACCTGAGTCCCTCAGGCTGAAGCGTCCCGTAGGGATGGGACAGTGTACAAGTGGATAGACTTTGAATATATTTATTCTGGTGTTTTCAGCATTTCACAGAATGGCTCCATTAGTTGCAGAGGAACTTTGGTTTTGTGGGACTTGGGGGTTTTTATCTGAGAGTAGAGGGGTGGGCTGGGAGTCGTTCTTCCCCCATCCTGCCTATATTCATGTATATTTAGAGGGGAGTACTGGATGTGATATTGAATCCAGTATGAACTGTACTCTTCTCCAAAAACTAGTTTTGTTCATAAAAAGTTCTGCACCTTGGTTGCTGGATGGAGTGCAGATGTCTGTGGGAGCTGGAGTTTTAAGAGTATTTTGAGTATGTGGGCCCCTGTGCTTCCCTCCTCACATGTGTAACACGGGAGCCTCATGGGACAAGTTCGTATCTCGTACAGCTACCCACGTGCTTATGCAATGCTAGAATAGATTTTGTGGTATGTGTTCTGTACAGGGACTTTGCATCATTCCTACTTCTTGTGGCTCTCAGTTCATCCCTCAAAGAAACTGACAGTTGACTGTTTTTATGGTAAAATCAGAAAGTAGCGTTAAGCCACAATTCAGGAGCCAGTTAATTTGATTTATGTAGGTTAATATTTTCTAAAGTAAAGGAAAAAACCCCACCTACATTCATATTTTTGTAGATTGCAAACGAACAGAAAATGGGAGTATTTCCTTTCCTAATTTCCTGTCTAATTTCTTAGGTTGCAAAACCTGTGCCTTTGGGAAGAACAGGTAAAGGTAAAAGTGTACAAGAGGCAGATCTTGGTCAGTATAACTGTTCTTCTATCACTACACTGAATAATCAACCCAAAATTGCCAAGAAACACACTTTAACAAAAGACAAGGTAAGAACTTAAATACACTAACCAATCATCTCAAATTTCTAGGGCTACCAGGCTGGGAATTTTGACACACCTATCAGTGGGGTTTTCTTGTATAGACGCAGCTGACACAGACTTGTTTAAAAATACTTAAGTCATTACTAGAAGTGTAAGAAATGGCCGTAATTTGGAACCATTTAGTTTTCTGTCATAGGGTTTCATTTGTAAGGAAAGAAAATGTGCAAGTTCATTTTGATTCACGTTGCTTTCCGTTTTGTTGGCGGCGTTCCTTTTGGTGTCCTCGCAGTTTGTTTCTGGTTGGTAATGCTGGCTGAGAGAGCAGGCAGGTCTGCCTTGCTGCCACCCAAGGATTAGTTGGCAGTGGCTACAACAAAAACAGGACATGCAGCAGGGGCTCCTGGAGCCTGAGAGCACGGCTCCCATGGTGGCCTTCAGCAGCCCAAGGGCTGGGGAGCTCGGTTCAGCCCGTCTCCAGCACAGACTCCTAATACAGTTCTTTCTGATGGTAGCAAAAGGGTTCTGCCAATACCCCAGCCTAATGGAATGGAGTATTTCTGTTTGTGCTCACAGATTAAAATAAATATGTAGTAACTATTTTCCACATACAGTATCGTTAATGAAATGTAGCAAAGGTTCTAATTGCCATTGTTAACATTTTTTAATAAGCCTTAATATCCTTACAGGGTTATGCAGCCAGTTAGAATCTCTATGAGAAGAGACATGGAAAAATCCAAAATAGTGTGAATAATAGTGTAAATACTGATACTGAAATGTTTTCAAAATTAAGAAAATAAACTAGAGTAGACAGACTGCTATAAAGGAAGCAACAACTCTGCTTTCAATGAGAGTGGATAGTTACCTATAAAGTATATCTAACTGGTGAGGCTTTATTGATTCTCTATTCTCTGTCCATCCTCACATGTGTTTACTGTTATTTCAGTCTTTTTAAAAAATTATTTTTAGTGTAATAGATCTGTTCTGCAGTAAAACTTCTAATCTTAAACAGTTGTTGAATTCAGTCAGTGTTGTTGTTCTGTGACTTAAGTTCACCAGTTTGTAAGGAAGCTTCTGAAAATGGCGAGTGTCCTATGGGTAGGTTTGTAGGTAACAGAGTACCTGAACATTCCTTGTTAGGTTTTTCTCCTAAAACGAGGAGCTTTACAATTTTAGATTTTTTTTTTTTTTTGACTGCTCTTTGCATAATACCCCTGAACAGTAGCAGCAATTTCAGGCAAGTTCCTCTCCTTTATTTATAAGACAAACAAGCTTAACTGAGACAAGAAATGGTCCTAATGTAAAATAGTGTTTGGTGTTCCTTATGATTTTATTTGGATTTTACTCTTTTCTTGCTGAACTGTTCACTTGCTTATACGTTGAAGGACTTTGAATTATCAAGTTGTACATTTAGTCTTAAGTTTAAACCATGTTTAAGAAAATACTCAGGAATATTTTTTGTCTTTCACATGGACTTAGTTTGGACTTAAGTTCTTGCTTAAAGTTTAGAATGAAGTATGTGCTTGAGGATTCTTCATTAATTGAGTCTATGGTATATATTTAAGGGATAGATTGAATGAAATTCAGTGCCTGAAAGCTAGGCAGTTACCTGTAGTGCCTACCATTTTGGTACCTGTGACCCAGGGTGGGATCCAAACCAAGAACAGCCCAGAAACCCTCTCTTCCAAATGAGAAGCTCCCTAAAGACAGTCAGTAGGAACTACTAAGCCCACAGCTGTGTCGTGACACTCTGGCTGCAGCGTAGGCACACAACCAGGGGATTTATTTTCCTCCACTGAGGTTCCCTCTTACAGAAGCAGCCTGTGAAAAGTTGGTTTCTGTAACTTGTTTTGGGAAAGCACTAATGTGAGCTGTGTCACGCCCTGTGCCACTTTGTTTAAAGGTACTTAACCTTAATAAAGTTAAGTTAAATAAAGTTGAATAGTGCCAGGAAAGGGAAGAAGCAAGTGCAGTGCTCCTGATGCTTAGAGGGAATTGTGAGCCTTGTTTTAGGAACGTGTCTAGACTACAAGTTACGAGGTCATGGCACTCTTAGATTCCTGTAACTGGTATCTGAGGGAGTCCTACTGAAAGGGACTGTGCCCTGTTGGAGACTAAAAACCTCCTGAAACAGGTCCTAACACACTAAATACATGTGAAGAAAAAAATATAACAGAATAACCATATAAAAGACTGATAAGAGAATCAGACAGAAGTACAAAAAGGATGTGATAGAAACCAAGGAAAGGATGGAAATAGGAAGGTGCAGATGCTGATTGTTACAGCAGAAAAGGCCTAAAACTCAGAATGTTGAGGTAATGGATTCCCACTGGCATCACTGGAACTTTGATCCAACTCACAGAATAGTAGGGGTTGGAAGGGACCTCTGGAGATCATTTAGTCCAACCCCCCTGCTAAAGCAGGTTCGCCTAGAGCAGGTACTCAAATAAAGGAGAAAGAAAAGGGGAAGGAAAGTTGTTCATGTTGGCTACTTTCCAGAAGAAAGGAATGAAAAGAATCATGAACGTTTATAATCACCTAAAATTATGGCAACTTTTTTTTTTTTTTATATCTATAGTAGTGTTTTTCTGTGAAAGCAGAAGTTTTTTTTTTTTCTTGCAATCTTGATAAAATATTAAAAAATCAGATTCAGATAATATACAGGTTAGGAAACATACTACTAGGGTTACTTTATTTAATTCTAAGCCAAGTGCCTACAAGGTGAGTTGAATTTTCTTCTGGAGCTGCTCATCAGTTAAGACCTCTGATGGGAGACTGAGGGACTAGCTTAAACTTGAGAACCTTTTAGAAGCTTAAGTTAGATTAAGTGGATATCACTTCAGACGTGCCACCCACAGCTGTCACAAAGTGGATGTAACTGGTTGTGGGAAGTATTGATCTCACAGTAAGTATAATGCTCTTAGCTGACTGAGGTGTAGGTTTCTAATCCTAAATTGGTTTAAAAAGATCTTAAGGAAATCAGCTAGCTTAAGCATGTGAGAGAAGAGAGAACATGAAGTAATAGGTTTAATTTGCTTTGAATTTGTCAGTGTTTTGAAAGCTACCTTAGATCACAGATCTGTTTTCTATTTCTGCCCTGTATTACTGATACAACAATGCCATCGTTTCCAGAATCAGCTGAACCAGGAGAGACGGCTTGCCAGAAAAGCTTCCTCGAGTGAAGCAGAAAGAAGTCCTGTTATTATGCAGGAGAAAGCCAAAAAGCTTGAGCAGGAGGGCAGCTCTGGCGTGCTGTACTGCAAGGAGACGGGCGCGGACTCGGCGGTGGCCGGGAGTCAGACGGAGGGCAGCGAGAAGGACGCCAGCCGCTCCGAAAGCAGCTTCGATGCGGACAGCGAAGCGTCAGAGAGCGAGAGTGCCCCTAGGCAAACGGCTTTCACCTCCTCCAGCAGCTCCTCTGCCTTGCACGTCAACCACGCCAACGTTAAAGCGCCGCACAACAGGCCGAGTGACAGTCATGAAGAGGTGATTTCCAGTGCCATGTCCAAACTCGGCTTCTGCGAGACGATAAACGAGGATAAAAAGTCAAGCCGTGGCGATTCGGGGCTGGGTTTATCCAGCAATTCCATGTTCTCAGTGGACAAATCCTCACTATCCCAAAACCCGCAAATCGCTTTCCAGACGCTTTCCCAAAGCTACATAACCAGCTCAAAGGAATGTTCTGTTCAGTCCTGCCTTTACCAGTTCACCTCTGTAGAGCTCCTGATGGGGAACAACAAACTTTTCTGTGAGAGCTGCACAGAAAGGAAGCAGAAGCATCAGAAGAAAACAAACTCCACAGGTAAAGCGCTTTTATCTCTCTGGATATTACAAAATTGCTCCTCAAAACCCATGCTCTTGCTGCTGTGTCATGGCTCCAGCGTGGGCCTCCCCCTCGTGGCTAAAGAAGAAAATGTCTCCCTGAGCAGAACTTGCTTGTAATAGCCTAGAAATTTATCTTACAAAGGCAACAGGACTAAATTTGATATTAGAACATAATTGTAGATGTAGCTTAGAATTTATTTTGCATCTTTTCTTTATTTTATCCAAGATAAGTTCTTTAAAGATGACCATAAGCTGGATAGGTGCATTGTTCAACACTAATCTTTGCTGCTGTTTCTGTTCTTTACAGTTCCAGAAGCTTTGAAATAAATGCTTTAATATTCAGCTCTAGCAACTTACACACTCAGGGAAGTAATATAACAAAGTATGTAACAGGGGCAAGAAAAGACAATTGTAATGAAGAAGGGAAAAAAAACTTTGGAGAGAACTACCTTCTTGGGACAGTGTTTTCCCTTATGTTTGTGTAGCTGAAGCAGACCATTAGGGTTCACTCAAAAAAACCCCAATTTAAATATAATGAAAAATAGACTTTAAAAGAAATGGAGAATTTTTTTTTTTTTTAATGTACAGTAAATCAAGATTTAAAAATAAGCTCTATTGATTATTTGTAAACAAAAAATTGCCTGTTTGCTGTGCATTGTAGGTCTCTGGAGAGAGACAAGTTAAGAATGAGGAAATTCAGAAAAAATGAATGTAAAATATATTTTATAATAATTAATCATTATTGGACTGACAGTAAGTGCTATATAAATAATACTTTGGCTCCATGGGCACACTGCAAAATGGAAAAGGAAAATCAGTTCACAACTAATAATGAATTTTTTTCCTTCTAAAGTTTTAAGATGTCATCTACTTTTACATAAAATGCTCCATTCTGCTTCAAATGAAATACTTTCTTTTGGGCACATGTAAAACCAGTAAATTAATTTTTTTTTTTTTCAGTGAACATGCTGCTGGCATGTTCTCTTTTGTTGACTAGCTAAACACTGAGCTGCTTTTGGTAAGAGCCCTGGGTTCAACTCCCTCTGCATCCTGGGGGGGTTGGAGTCCATATACGCCGAGCCTGTGTGCTCAGCCCCTGGGTTAGGAGGCATCCTGAAGTAGACAGCCCTCCTCAGACCTGTCTCTTAAATAAGCACGAAGTATGGAGTTATTCAGAAAGAACTGAAGAATGGGGGATGTATCTTTATCTTACTGGTCAGGACATTAGCATAGACAGAGGCCTGTGCCTTCCATCTCCTGTTCCAGGATCATCTGCTGATTTCAGGTGAAATGGTTCTCACAGGAAAGTCAGGTGCCATAGTGACGGGCAGTGCAGGTCTCTTGGTGTGCAGGCTGCCCTAGGCAGCATGCATGCTTCCAACTTTTGATCTGGTTTGCACAGGGTGGGCTAAAATAATGCTCAGATTTAGCAGATTATGTTTATTAAAAGCTAGAAATATTTTTCTGTTATTCAATGAAATTTCCCTTGCATTTTATATAATTTGTACAAAATCATTGCAACATAGATCTGTTCTGTCAGATGTTTAAAAAAAATGCTTAAATTCTGTGTGATTGCCTTCACTTTACAAATTATTTCGATATTCATAAATACAGAAAAGAAAATGGAGGGTGTCTACACAAATGCTCGGAAACAGCTGCTGATTTCCTCAGTTCCTGCTGTTCTTATTCTCCACCTGAAGAGATTCCACCAGGTAAAAGGCCCAAACCCTCTTGTATATATACATTCCTCTGCTCCACTGGTGGACAAGCAGTTCTTCAAGTGGTGTTGTGCACACAGATGTTTGCTTTTTATATGGATAACTGATAACAACCACCACTGGAAACATGCTTATGTTTTTTGACTAATACCTTCGGAGTGCATTTAGCCAGTCAGATGTATCCAGGGAAAGCTCTTACATGTCCATCATGCTTATGAGTAGCAAGCACTGTATTGAAAATGTAACAAAGAATGTTTAAATCAGTTACAACCTGATTCTTGGTTTATTTTAATAGTATAGTAATATACCTTAGCTTAAAAAGATTCCTTGTAAAAATATTTATTTACAGTCTTTTTTTATTCCTTTTCTTCTGAAGACTGGTTTGAGTCTACGGAAAGTAAACAGGCATGTGGATTTCCCACTGATTTTAGACTTGGCACCATTTTGTGCTGCATCTTGTAAGGTACTCATTTCAGATCTTTATTTTTATTGTACCTAATAGCTGTCCTGGGCACAAGCTAAACTGTGTTGTTGATGATGAGGTTATTATTCCTTCCTTTCCTAAAGAAATAAGAGAATGAATGCTTGCCAATAGTCTCCCAAGATCAGAATTGTAACTAACTGAAGTTCCGTTCATATCAAGAAATACCAGGGGTGTTAACTAGTCTTAGTTCAGCTGTGGTGCCCTGACAGTGTATCTGACAGCTTCAAGGACAAGTATTGCTACTTCAATGGTAACTAAATTCAATTAATAGACTATTGAGTCTTTTTAAGAGATGTATTTCACCGTTGGAAATTCTGTAGATGTGTGTTTGCTCCTTTTAAAGTGATACTGTTGATAGCTAGTTGAGCTATCTGCAACATCAATCATGAATTAATTTGCCTTTGTTTGCTCTGTTTCTGGGTTCGCAGAACGTTGCAGACAGCGCACGGGTGCTCTACAGTCTCTATGGGATCGTGGAGCACAGCGGCTCAATGAGGGGCGGTCATTACGCCGCCTATGTGAAAGTCAGGACACCCTCCAAGAAGTTACTAGAGCATATTTCTACCACTAAAAATGTTCTGGGTATGTACAAACAGAGCCTATTTTCTCTGTGAGTAAAATCAAAAGCAAACACAGGCTACAGCTCCTTATCCTTAAGGGGACTTAGAGCAAATATTTGTTTTAGCTTAAAATAGTTGGTTATTTTAGGGCCACATAAATACATTATTTTTTTTCCCCCCTGTTACACCTACTACTTGGCCTACTTCTGTATTAACCCCACATAGAGGTGAGTGAATAATGGAATTTTGGTTCAGTTCTTAAACAGACAATTGATGGAAAACTCTTCTTCCTTTCCTAGTCAAAATAGTGTGTCCAGATGCACAGTTGTGCCTGGTAAAATATAATTCTGTGGCATATGTAGTATTTGGCAGCGTTCTAGTAAAGAGCTGATTCCATGATAATTTGAATTGAATTTTCCATTTATTTGAGCATTTTACTTATTTTAGGACTGGAATATTTTTAATGTGAACAGCACAAAACTTTTTAATGGAGGATACAAGGTTTGCAGTAGGGTTTCTGCTGGTATTTTGAGACCAGCACACTAGTTCTTATGAATGTGTGCTGGATGTGCAGAATGAAACAAGATGCTAGGATAGAATCTGTTAGTGAATGATTTCTGGGGGCAAGAATGTTGAGCTGTGAGAGTCAGGTGAATATATTTACTGCTTCCCTTCATGGGGAAGTGAGCAGCCAGCACTGCCCTGTCTATCCTGCATAGTATCATTTCGCATTTGAAGCTTATTTCCCAAGAGGCCATTTTTTTGTATTATTTTTGAAACAGAAATCTCCCTCAGTCTTATGCTTCCCTTACAACGATTATTAGAACAGATTAGATCTTTTTGTGTTCTTAACTTCACACCTGTCAGCTTTTGAAGGAGGATTTTATTTTCTGTCAGAAGCTAATATACCTTACTTTTACCTTACCTTAAGTAAGCTGTACTTGAAAAATCTCAGACTTTTTGAAAAAAATATGAAGAGTGATGGCATCATACATTTGTAAGCATTGTCTTCCACCAGTTTCTCTTACAGGAGGCTTTGACATGTAAATTTCAAACTACCAGTACCAGACTGCATCCAAGTCATGAGTTACTCTTGTGGATTAGAAGCTTCTCTCTTTTTTTTTAAATATCCACTATATTTGTTTGATGATGACATGAAAGACAAGCCACAACTTATTTTGCTTTTGCATTTCAGGTTTAAAAGAAGCCATGGGAGCATCAGGAGGACAGTGGGTGTATGTTAGTGATGCCCATGTTCAGATGGTTCCGGAATCAAGAGTACTAAATGCACAAGCATATCTACTTTTTTATGAAAGATTATTATTGTAATTCTCAACAGTTTAATTTAAAAAAAAATGGTAGTGGTTATTTAGTTTATCTTATTTAAAGCTGCAGTGGTAAGAGTACCTGTAAATATTGTGCCTTTATCTTGTAGAGAGTTCATCATACGTTGACTCCGAAGTTCAGTCAAGCTATTATAAATAAATACCTGAATGGTTCTCTTAAAGTATGCACTTTGCCAAACATCTATAATTCCTGGAGTCACTAAAATACAGTACCATTAGAATGTAAGATGATGTCCTACCCTACAGAGGTCTACGGAAAGTTTGCTTTTGACTTTAATAAAGATAAGCTTTCACCCATAGTTCTAGAACAGTTGAGAATAAAAATTCTGGTAGCGTCAAGTGCCTGGATTTGCTGGTGTACAGTAACAGTATAAAGTATTTCAGTGTTTTGTATCTAGTCCAGATCCTTCCCCTCACTGGGTGGGACACGGGCTGTTAGGGTTCCTGCAAACAAGAACCTGTCGAATCTGCCACTTCCACGTGTCGCCACTGGGAAGCCCAGTGCTCCCAGCAGCTGTCTGGGGACGCTGCAGCACGCCTTCCCGCTGGGGCTGGGATCAGGCTGGGGAAGCACGGCGTCCACGGAGGGACAGGGAATCCTCATACCTGCTGCCCTTGCAACTCTCTCCAGCTGGCACTGGTATAGCAATGTACTCCTGTTTGAATACAAATATATACTGGGGGTGCATGTGTATATCCTCTGATATGTGTAGATACATATGTACACACACAGAGGTATCTATATGTACACATGCACACCGTAAATCCATCAATATATATCGTCATTTTACCTACTAGGAAAGAGAAGTCCAAAAACTTCTGTATTTAGTAAATTTCTAACTGCATAATTATGACAATGTACAGCATATAAGCTTGTGTATGACTATGTATGGGGGTTAAGTGCAACTGGATAATTCTGTTACTTTTGGTTCTAAACATGAACTTGTTTATCTGTTCTTGAATACTTTTCTCACAGGGGTAATAAACTATAAATTATTTTTGCACTGTGTGTGTGAGTTGGACAGTAAATGATAACTTTTGCCCTCTGGTGCACATCTGGACTTCCCTTTGTCATTGGTGGAGGACAGCGGGTGTCCTGGTGGCAGCACTTGTTTCTGTGTCCCATTTGAGTGCCCTGCTTTGAGTAGCGTGAGCGATACATACATTTTAAGGTGAAAATATGACAACTACTTTAAAACTTTGTGGTAATTAATTTATTTAATGAGCAGTTACTTAAATACAAACTACTTCTGTAACAGTTCCATCCAGTTTGCTTTTTGGTAAAGACTGTTTATTTCTGCTTATTATTTTCATTTATGGAGATGGTTTTTTGGTGAAAAAACATGAGGTTCCTATTACTCTCTCTACCATGTGTTCTCGTATGTACTCACAAAACTCTCCTACTCTCGAGTTCTGTTTCAGAGCTTCATCCCACCTACATTCACTCGTTTGTATAAGACAATGGCAAAACCTGCCATAGTTGCATTTGCTCCAGCTGCTGAGCTGTATTTTACAGCCACATGACTTGTACAAGCTTGCGCAGGCACTAAGGTTTCTTACTGTGGATGTACAATTTTTGTTGTAACAGAATGAGCCCTCAGTTACAGGGGATTTTATTTTCCAAAGGAAAACTCCTCTGTTGAGGTCAAAATGAGGCTGTGTTTTGGACAATGGAAGAGATTTTTTCCCTCCATGGACTATAATTGTCTCAGTCTACCCATAAGTAGTAAAACTCAGAGAACCCATCTATTGCAACTAAACACAGCTTAACTTGAGCCTACGTTAAGACAGAAAAAAAAAAAAAACAAACATGTTTAGACTAGAGCTGGTTAAAATACATTCATTTTCTTTTACCTCTTATGTTTTTATACCCTTCATGCACCTACACACACCTTCCCCTCTTTGTATACAGCTGATCAAAACTCGGAATTAGTTCTGGGCAAGAGTCACAGCAAATAATGACAAAGTTTTGCTTCTGTGACACACTCTTGGTAGGAGACCACAGGTGAGACTTCATTTCAACCCCTTTAAGGCAAGCAGGCTGACTAGCTGCGGCCTGAAGTTCCTCGTTTTGCTGACCTCCATAAAACTACTGAACTTCAGTACCCCTATTTTTCTCCTACTTTTTAGCCTAGAACTACCTCCCTAGAGTACACAACTAGGAGAGAATCAGAACAAGGTTCTTAACCTGCTATTTAGTATTTGTTAGCGCTATTTTCAGGAAACTCTTGACGTGATCTTCACTTCTCCTTAACTGGAGTTCACACACTGGACTGCTGAAATCTTCCCAAGTGAGGCTACTGACTAGAATGCCATGAAAGATGCCAGCATGATTATCTCCTCATTAACAGCCAGGGAATGACTCCTTGCAATGAAGGCATTTTAAAGAACATGGAGAGAAAATGGCACGAAAAGAAGCCAAGTACACCAAGTCAGGCTCAGCCCAGCAGAGGTACGGCAGTCACAACCAACCGGGAAGCAGCCCTCGGGAGCAGAATGGTGAGTGAGCCTGCAAGGGACAGGGAGGAGCCCCACTCCTCAGGACGCCCCCCCCCTTTACACTAGGTAGGACATCTGTGGTATGGGACAGCTGCCCTGGCCAGCTCCAAACTGCTGAGGGCTTGCAGACCATGGCAGGCCTGTGATTCTGCCCCAGCGAAACAAGGACACAGTCACACTGAGTGTGTCCATTAACACATTGTTTGTGTCTTTGGCATTTGTTTGTTTGGGTGGTTTTCTTTTGCAAAAACTGACATCAAAGCAAGCAATTGTACATAAACATGCACACTGAAGACCTGTTGCAGCCCTTTACCAGGAACTGTCAGGGAAAGCAGGAGCATTCCAGGAAAGTAGGGTGTGCACCTTGGATTTCCAAAAACATTAAACATAGTTCTAAAGGCTATTCACAAAGTCTAGGCACTTGTAGTTTCCTGCAGCTGCCACATGTGTCCACACTATTGGAAAGCTAAGTGTGTTTTCAGAATTTTAACTGAAAGGCGAAAGCTCTCCTTAAAATACCTTCTGTTACCAGACCAAGACTCTTCCCATGTGTGCAGCACCTACTCTCCCCACAGCCACACCGTGTACCTTTGTGGTCCACCCAAGGCCGAGAGAGTGCAGCGCCCTGCTGCTCCATGTGGAATAGCTCAGAAACAGCTTTCTCTTCATCCCACCCTTCTCTTCACAAAAGGGCACCACTGTTCTCTTTCATCAGCCTCATCCATTCTCCAGGTTTTTGGTGTCTCCATAAACCTCTCTGTCAATAGCTTTTTTCTTTCATCCATCTGTAACCACAACGCAATGTTTTCCAGCCCCATCACTTGGGTTCCACGAACTGGCTAAACTCTTAGGGCAGAGCTACAGTAACTATAGTCTTGCCTCTCCCTACCACCACGCTGGCTCTAGACTAGTCATGACCATGCCTTTAAAACGATGAGAAAGAAAGCAAAGTGCATCATTCCTCACTCTTCAGTAAGGAAACCTCGTTTATGAGAAGTACTTGATTTGCACATGGACAACCAGAACTCCCTATAGAAGTTTCTGCAGAGCAGAGGCATCAACAAAGATGTCTGTATGAGAGAAGGAGTTACTCCAGATTATGGAGCCTTTCTCCTTCAGAAAGAACTCCACTGTCTTTGGATATTTGTAATTTGTAATTGCCTTTGTTTAGAAAACAAAATCCACACAGTCTGCCAAACTTCCCTCCTCTACTCTCATCTGCACCATCTGTGTGTGTCCACAACGGGCTCTTGCTTATGGATTCACAGTGGTAGCAGGTGAGAGTGGTTTAGAAATTCATTAAAGGGCTGAAATGTCTTAACTTCACCATTTGCTTCTCCCTGGACTTGTTTTTAAAACTAACACAAACTGAATCCTAAAGGCACATGAAACTAATGCATCTAATTTTCAACTCATTATAAATATATTACTTGAACATATTAGTAACAAACTAAGTTTTGGAAAGGAATGATTTCTTGAGGAGAAAAGCAAGCATTTGAATACAACTCCTATGTTAGCAAAAATCAGCAAATCCAATTCTAATTACAAAAGTGGTAGCACACTTCACAAAACAGCTTCACAACAGCCCTGATTAAACAAAAATTTTTTATTCCTCAGTTTTCATTAGCTGGAAACTAGTTTGCTGTGCCCTGTACACATTTCTGAATTTGTACATTTATTTATGTGAAAGAGAAGCCACTAATTTGCAGCAGAACCATTTCAGCCTAATTATTTTAGAATGTATTACTTTTGCATCTGTGTCTATTTACTGTACCTTAGGAAGCCATTTTGCCACCTGTTTTACCTGTTTGCACCTCTCCCCTTGGTGTATAAATAAACTGCTAACAGTGGGAAAGTGGTTATTCCAAATGGTCCGAAATTGACTTATTTTTTGAAAACTGAGGTTACGAAACATTTTCAGACAGAAGTCTGTTAGTGCAAGTCAAAACGCTTCCTTTGCGCAACTTTTTTATATAAAAAGTCCTAAGTCAATTTGTTATAATCAAACATTTGCAATGTATTGTAGCTACTTTAAGACTACTTGATATACATTCCAATTCTGCAAAATTAAAAATACTTGTCTTCACTGAGATTAGTAGAAAGAGTTTTGAAAGTGTCATGAATGTTTCCTACATGTATTGCAGCTTCCAATATTTTTGTAGTACAAAATATAAAGGTGCAGTACTGCTTTCAAAAGAGAACGGAAAAGCATTTATTCTGAGTAGGTTTATGACTTCTTAACACCTACCTCATTGCTTTGCTGCATTTGCTCCATTATTTTTGGTTTTGAGCTGTCACCTGGGGATCCTTTACAGTGAGCTCCATAATAAAACCCTCATGTCAGTGCAGCCAGTCCCTGCTCAGCCATTTCACAAAGCTGAGTTTGGATTCTACTGTCAATTATGCACGGGGACAATCCCTCAGATGTTCACATGTGCCTGCACTTACACAGGGCATAATCCAAATAGTCAAAAAACCTTGTTAAGTACCTGTGAGCAATAAATCAAGCATATTAAAAGTTTACTCTTGTTTTAATTAATTTACTTTTCTCATAATTTTGAACCTAACTCTGCTCTGCAAGTATTTAAATAACATATAATAAGAATATTTTTAGAATTTTACTACAGTACCAATACACAGTACACTGTATTTGTAGATCTTTTAATTCCAAATATTTTCAAGTAAACATGGCCTTAAACACAAACTGCATATAAAAACCAAAATCTGATCACTTTTCCAGTCTGTCCTAGGCGCTTTAACGGGTTTCTCAAAATAATGCTGCTGTTTGTCTTCTATGCATTTTGTCTTTCCA